TGAAGCAAAACCAAATAAAAGTTGTATCAAATCTAAAAATATCCAAAACATGTCATCCAAAAATAAGAATTACACATACCTGGTAACAACCCTTCACCCAGAATTTTGTTTTCCTTTCTTTTCTCAACTGTTTTCTAAACCTATTTATTGTATACAAAGTAAAAGATAAGAAAAAAAAATGAAACTCAAGTACACAATCTTTGATTTCAATAAAGAACACACGCAGGAGGGAAGGTTATAGGCATTTATCCTTGTATCTGTACCTGAAGAAGTTAAGGGGACTTACCGGTGGAAGTATATTCCGGCGAGTGAAGTCAGATTACCAGCGAAGGGTAAAGCAAAAAGTTCTTGGTATCACTACTAAATCCCTGTGTCTGTCCTTAGGGAATGCGCTCTTTCGTTCTTTAATTTCCGTCTCATTTTCATAGATTTTTTATTTTTGTCGATTGGGAGTTTCACACGTGTGACGGGGGCCGTGCAGAATCTTTGGCACGTGTAGAACTCATTGAAGCAAATTGAGAATTATTTCACCTCTCTGATTGGCAGACGTTAAGTTGGCTTGCATGTTTTGTCCCGTGCAAGTTTCATTTTCATGCTTGGAGAACTTGACATAACAAAATAAGACACTCGTAGCTTACTAGTGCTGTGAATCAACTCGAAAGCCTAAAAGCTAGACGAAGCTCAGTTCGTCAAGGCTCGAACTCCAAACGTGAGTTAGGGCATATATGTTATTTTACACTGTATAAAAATAGAATTAAGGGTTAGATTATTCTTTGACCTTCATTCAAAATCATTTCTTATTTTCCTTCCAAATTCCAATTTCTCAGCTGCATCCTGTAGTTCGCACCACCAGTTCACCACTCAACAACTAACCATCTTTTCACTAGTTACCTCCAGTTATCTCTTCAATCTTCTCCGGTCACCTCTTCACTTTCACAAATATCAATTTTTCTCTACCAAAAATCACCGCAAGCTTCTCCATTTTCACACCCAACCACTACCATGCAAACCACTATGACTGCGAGTTTCTCCATTTTTCACAGTCAAGACTAGTGGACCAGCTATCATTTCACCTAGCTATAGGTTGTAGCAGCCACCGACCAATCAAATTTGGTTGGTTTCGCAAAACCACCTTGATTTCTGGTAAGTAGGACTTACTTTCAAGTCCTAATATTTTTTTTTTCTTGTTGAATGTTGACTAATACTTGTATCATAGAAGATTGTGATGCTATGTTTTTTCTCTATCTTTAGATTGCTCATTGCTATTGTTTTGCTTGTTTCTTTTTGTTACAACTTAGAAGGGGATACCTGATGCTACAGTTGTTCTTTGAGTTGTGATGCAGTGGAATTCTTGTGTGAGAATAAAAAAAATGAAAGTAATTCAAGGTGTATTTATTTTGGAAAGTTAGGTGATATCTCTTTCATAGTATACATAACGAAAATTTCACAACTTGGCCATAAAACTGGGCCAAGTTTTGGACAATCTCTTGGCCATAAAACTGACACTTCAGAAGCTCAAGGACAAAGGTTGGCAGCATGTCAATATTCGAACTCCATGCAGTCAGGTTCTTAATATGATACGCTATCAAGTTTCTGGTAACTTAAGGCTGGCAACTCACTTGGACGACATAAAAGATCTTTGCTCAATGTTTAGGAAATGCTCATTTGATAGTTTGCCTGTTGCTATGGATAGACTCAGTACTAAACTGAGTAGATTAGCTATGATTATACTTTGATGATGAAATTTCAGTTCATCAGTGGCCTAGTCCACTTTTGTAAAGACCAATTTGAGCCCTTGCTCAACCTATGTAATTTTACTTCTTTTTTATAATAAAATTTCTATCGTTTCCGAGAAAAAAAGAAGAAGATAGGATTCTGAATAAATCATTAGTGCGGGGATATGCATGTTTCTTGGTTAGAAATTGGGAGGATCTCACTTGACAATATTATTCTAGACTTCTAGTCCTTGTTCCTACCTTATTCATTTAGTTCTTTTTTCTATACATGATGGAATATATCATGTTTATTAGACTAAACTGACAAAGACTTGTATCTTGATTGCTCACTACTAGATTGACGTATCACTGTAAATAAAATACTAGATTGTTTGTGTTTGTCTATTAAGCTTTTGTATTACACTAGACAGCAATGACTGAACTCAAATACTAAATACTTTTAGTGCTTGTTAATAAATAGCTGTTTTTCTTTCTTTTTTGGATCATGCTTTTCTTGCCTTTGGGCTGTAATGGTTATACACTAAAGTAAGTTCCCCATTATATGTTGAATGGAGCATCTCATTCCACTGCTCGATCTAGACTTGAGCTAAAATACTCGAGTTCGAGCTTGTTAAACTTTTAAAGTTAGTTTAAGCTCGAACTCTATTCAATTTTACCTTATTCAAGTTCGAACTTGAATGAATTCAGTTTATTGGAGATTGATCAAATTCAAGTGATATAAAATAATATTTACCTAATACCAAACAAGAGATAAGATAGACATTTCATAATAATATTTAATTGAAGAGATAAGATAGACAAATTCAAAATATTTTTTTTGAACTTCAATTGAACTCGGGTAAGCTAGCTTGATGAACTTGTTAATATGTTTGAGTTGTTTGAACTTGACTCGAGCTTGAGTTTTGATAAGATAAACTCGCGACTAATGCTATTGAGATCGGTTTTTTGCACCCCTTGTGATGCAATTTGGGGACTGTTCGTGTATTTTTAGTGATCAACGAACTACGGTCAATATCAGAGATTTTGAACTTGCTGATTTGTGTAGTCTGCCGTAAGCTATTTTTGTTTTTAAATATATGTATATATGTGTGTGTGTGCATACTCTATACGATATACTTCCTTTTATGTCAAAGAACTAGTTGACCATGAATTCAGGTGAATTCCAAAAGCTCGCTCAAGCACTTTGTTAAAAAAACTATTAGTTAAACATATGAAATCGTTAATTTCAGTAGTCATATTTTAGTCCTTCAACAAATGATATTGCAAAAATAAAAATGTTATTTAGTGTAGAAGTTTGAGCGCATGTAGAAACTAAATGATAAATTAATGCAATTTCGACAAGAAGATTTTGATATCAATCTCTTATGCCATTGGCAAAGTTACCTTTCCTACACGCCAATGGTTAAATTAGGTCACTCTTAGGTTCCGTTTGATAAAACTGAATCTGAATTCTGAAGTCTGAATTCTGAAATCTGAATACTGAGACAATTAATTTACTGAATTTTAAGCACTGAAAAGAAATATATGAATGTCTGAATTTTAATGCTGAACCTATTTATACTGTTTGATAAACATTTATACTGAATGCTTAATAAGTTAAATTTAACAATTTTGCCCTTATATCTTTTCATCCAAAAAAGAAATAGAACCTATGATTTAATTAGTTTAAAATTTTTAGGCATGAAAATGATAATATTTATTTTTAAATCAAATTAATATAAACGATGAAATATATTATATGATGAGCATGGAGAAGATGTGAAAGTCATTAGAAAGGCAGAAAAGATAAATAGAAAACCATTAGATAGAGAATATTAAGTTGTTTAATTAGATAAGAATTTTGAATATAATTAATAAACAAGGGTAGATTTGGTAGATAAGATAAGGTAGTTGAAGTAATTTTATTAATTCTTATCAGAATTAAGCATTCAGTTATGATTCTTGTACTGAAAAAAATACACATAAGTTCAGCACTACTTAACAAATTCATCAAATGTATTTTCATTTATCAAACACTCAAAATATCTGAATGTCTGAAAAAGTTCAGATTCAGCACTTTTTTATGTTATCAAACAGACCCTTAGAGTTCGCTACAGGTCACCACAGGTTTGAAGTACTGTTTATCACCCAGAACAATTTGTGGATGGTGAAATGCAATGTGGGTCTAATGTAGTAACCATTTTTATACTGATTTTGAATTCATGCTTGTCGAGTTTGTTCTTCTCTCTAGAAGGTAAATGGAGTGTCGAATATATATATATATATATATATATATATAGCAATTAGCCGGGTAGTCACTGAACTTTTAGAATAGTCAAGATTTGATCACTCAATTATTAATAGTATATTTTTACCCACTGAACTATCAAATGTGTAAATTTTTTTATCATTTCGTCTAATTCCATTGCTAACTCTGCTAACTCTAAGGGTCCGCACGATTTACAAGACTTATTATTAATTTTTAGATCTAACAAAATTAATGGTGGAATCAGATGAAATGGTCCAAAATTTATATTTTTAATAGTTCAATGGATAAAAATATACTATTAATAGTTGAGTGGTCAAAAGTCAACTATTCAAAAAGTTTAGTGACTACCTAGATAATTTGCTCTGTGTGTGTGTGAGATTCTTGTAGCTGAAATTGAGTTTAAAGAATATAGAATTGTTTTATATTCCAGTCTCACTGCATTCAACCATTTGAAACTCAAATTCTTCAACTGGATCAGGGCAACCCTTTATTACCAATTCTATCAATGAGGGGAGGATGAAATCACATTCTTCACCATGACTGCAACTAAAGTTTCAGAATTTCTCGTGGATATCATAAAAGAGAAAACTTTGAATGCTAGAAAATAGTAGTGTGTAAATAGCAATAAAATGATAGATTTTTGTTTTTTTAACGAATAGCCCATATACGGTAGATAGATTTTTCTGAAATGGCAGCCCATATACATAATATTGTATGCTCAAATTTCCTATTCCTTTATTACTTTTAGTCACCTTTTCACTTAAATTTTACATTTTTTAAAAAATTAAAACTTACACCCTTTAAGTTAATGAACGTCAGAGGGATGATGGGATGTGCCAGGGATAACTAGTAGAGACAAAAAAATCTTTAAAAATATATAGAAAAAAAAGAAAAACTTCTTGCAGGCTAAGAATAATTTTAAGTTGCCTTGAGATGTGAAAAAAAAACTAGATTTTCAATGCCTTACAGTTTCTGTATATATGTTGGTTTCCTTTTTAACGATCATCAGTAAGAGATATTTAAGAAGAATTTTTATTGGCACCTAAAATATATAGTTACAAAACAAACATATATATGTTGGTTGCCTACTAGGCATTTCACAAGCAGGGTTACCTATTAAAAATGAAGTCCAATTTGCAAAAACATAAGACAGTACATACAATACAATTCATATTGGATTAATCTTTTTGTACATTTTCAGTGTAGAAATTTTTTTACATTGATAACTTCAGTGCATGACGTGTTATTTTTTTTTTTTTTCAAATTTTTAAAAATTCTCCATTTACACGTTCGGCATGCACTCAAGTTTATTAATATAAAAAGATTTCTACACTGATATTGTAAGAAAGATATCCTTTATTATATTATAAAAGAAAAAACCAAAACAAGCCAAACACACTTATATAAACTCCACACATATTCTTTTCACACCGAAGAGTTTTGTCCATGTCCAATAGCCCAATCCATCAACCACAGTTGTTCTGACCGGACCATATTATCGACTCAAATTGATGAATCCTGCAATATTCACTGAAAAACAAACATGAATATTACAACTCCACGTTACATATATAATGTTAAACATTGGAATTCCCAAATCAATTTTCACTAAAAATATATATTTCAAGTTTACTTTTTGATTTCTCCCATATGAAAAATTCAATTTTCAAAATCTGAATCATAAAACCTGTAACGCATATGATTAAATATCAACGGTGTGAGTTGTTTGCTAACAGATAGATATAAGAAAGATCATACAATAGCAAATAGGGAGGGGTTAAATCCGCACATCTTCGTTCCAAATTCACACTTCTAATGCATTGATGATTAATACTATCCGTACTAAAGTTTATATAAGGTGTGGAGTCAGAAAGGTGGGACTTGAATTCGTCTTTCCTTTGGCAAAAATGGTAAGCGAAATCAGAAGTAAAAAAGGATCAAAAGCAGCAGTTTCCTGTTATTCATATTTATGCAAGCTAGCACAAATGTAAATCAAACTATAGTTCGTTGGAATTGTACAATAGAACGTGTATATGAGGTGAAAAACTGTTTAAGGGCTACCTGAACATTTGAACATATAAAAAACATATCAAATTGTGTACATCTGCATTCGGATGTAATATTGCTCTCTGAAGAATCAGATTCAATTATATGGAATGGATCGACTCATATAGATCAGAAGCACACATATTGCATATGGAAATTTAATCCTCCATTCTCCTGCCCTCCCAAAAAACAAAAAAACAAAAAACAAAAAAATCCCCTCCCAACAAAAACAAAAGTAAAAGGGAAAAGACACTAAAATCTATGTACCTTCAACTTTTCCATCTGTTCTCGACCAGCCTGCGGAACCCAAATATCTCTGATGTGGTAAAGAAGCTGAGCTCTCTATCCTGTAAAATATACTCAGAAACAAAAATCTGAAACGTAAACTCTCAACTCTTTGGGAGACTAAACTAATAGACAAGATTAAAGGGTCAGAAAGAATAAGGATATACATATATTTGTACCTTTAAATCCACAGGAATATATGTATTCTCTGTTACTTTCACTTTCTTAAGTAATGGTGCATTCAACTTTCCAGAACACAATTTCTTCAACTCCGGGCAACCCCATATTTCCAATTGAGTCAGTGAGGGAAATTTCAAGTCACAATCCTCGCGGTGACTACCACTGAAGCTTCCAAGATTTTGGAGATTAACAAAACTTAATGAGCTCAGTTTGGGAAACACAAATTCTTTATTGGTTCTTTCCAACGCAATTTCTCTGTGATTTCCAACACCATCTTCTTGACTTATCTCTTCATCTTCCTCACCTATAACTCCATGCATTTCGTCGCAACAACCAATTACTAGTACCTCAAGGCTTACAAGCATGTTAGCCACACAAGGAGGATAAAACAAACATTGTAATAATCTGCAATGCCATACTTTCAGATTCCTTAAGTTCCGGAAAACTTGAACCCCTGTAGGGAAATTCCTCCAAATATGAGTTAATCCTGAGGATCTTAATGTCAGGGACTCTAGTTTGGGAAGAATTGCAAGTTCCTCATGGGATTGCCTAGGAACTTTCAGCCCCTCAAATTCAAAGAGTGATATCATCCTGTCACATCCATGAGCTTCAAGTCTCTGCAGATTTTGTAATATTATCACTCCATCAGCTTTGGCAATCCATCGAACCTGACAGTCCTCCAACCGCAAAAATTTCAAGTTCTCCAGAGACTGACTTGGCATTTCACCTCCTATTATTAGTTGCACGTCACTCGTGTTCGGTCCAAACTCGAGTTCTTCCAAGCTAGGAAGTGAAACCTGGAAAATTTGGTAATTGTCACGTAAAGCTTATGTGGATTGCAAAATACAACTAAAACATGCATGGGATATCAAATATGTTTGTGTATGTATGTACATTTGTAGTCACCATTGATATTCATTATATATACGTGTGTGTATATATGTATGTGCTGTCCGTGTGTGGTGTGTGGCAAAAAACCATCAAAATTTGTCCATTATCGCTGGCTGGGTCTAGATTTAGTTTTCCAGCGATTTATGTCATTAATCTAAGTTCATCTCAAAGCTTGAAATGTATGCACCACATGTATTTCAAAACTTCGGTTAAAGTTTTAATTAGTTGAATCATTGTAAATGGCTTGAAGGAAAGGTGAATCCATAGGATATTGATATTCATCATGATTCGGTGCTTACTAGCACTAAACGATTCTTCTACACAACATATTTTTAGCTAACTAGTTCAAGTGCTAGAATATGCCTAATGAAACAATTTTGAGTTGTTAAATTAACAGGTTCTGAGATAAAGCGCTTTCTTGACAGAAAAGAAGTATACAGAGTATATCATATAAGTACAGAGAGAGAGAGAGAGAGAGAACCCGGTGGAAAAAAGCATCAGCTGCATCATCTTTGGACCCAAAACCCATTAAGTTGGTGTGTTTGTGGACTAAAACTTTGAGTTGGGGTAGCTCAAGCACTTCCTTCTTCTTACTTTCTTCCCTCATAACAATATTCTCCAACTCCTTGCAGTTTTCAGTCGTTAAACTTTGGAGTTTGACTAGACATTTCAATACTGATTGTGAGAATAGAATTGTAATTTGATCACAATAAGTGACCTCAATAACACTGAGGTTGCAAAGCGATGGAGGTTCAATTGGCCCCATCCACAAGTACTTTATTGTATCTACAGTTTGAAGTTTCACCTCTTGAAGTTGACTGAAGCACCGAGGTGGAAGATTTCCATGAGATATTTCTTGCAAACTGCATTCCACAATATTCATACAAACCAAATCTCCAAAAACATGTGGAGCAACTAGGTTGGTGGTGGAATCAACAAGGCATTGGCATACTCCAGACACTAGTTGAAGCCTTTTCAAATTGGCAAATCCATCTTTATCCAAGTCACTCACAAGATTCCTCAAGCTTGACACATCATAAAGGTCCAAAGTGAGATTCTCAGCTCTCTTGACAATGCTGGTAACTGCAGGATCCAATGCTTGTTTTAACTGTTCATCCTGAGACAAATGAAGTTCGAAAGTCCTCCCAAATTGAAAGTCCCTACTGAGATCTCTCCAGCCCATATTATAAGCAGCTCCTTCAATGAGGAATCTTGACAACCTCTGAGCGGGAAATCCATGCAATAATTGGAGTAGGAGGTTAAGGTCATATACATGAATTTGGAGGCATTCAAGGTTGGAGAGTGATATGATCTCTTTAATGCATTCTCTTTCTTCTTCTTTATCTCTCCCCAGGTGCAGATGATAATCAGGTGCCAAATACAATTCTTCTAGTTTCTTCAAGCTTGACAGGATACCACGAGGCAAAGGTTGGAGGCTACGTCTAACCCTCAAGTCCAACAACTTTAAGTTACTCATCTGAGCAATTTTCCTTGGAAATTGATCGTCTTCAAGTGCGGACTGAAAGAAGCTCAAAATTTCCAACTGCGTCATATACCCAATCATGGATGAAGTTCCAGTGCGCAATGTGCAACCATCCAGGCACAGTGTGCGAATGCTCGCTAAATTTTGGGCAGGCCATAATACTGTAAATTCAATGTATGCATTGTTAATTTCCATGACCCTCAGAACTTCCATTCCCACGAAAGAATCTATTGATAGGTACAAAGTGTTTGATTGGAATACCAGACGCAACAGCTTAAGCCATGGACTCTTCTTGCCAAATGGAAGTAGTTGAACTGTGTAATCTTTCACTGTTAGAGAAATGGCCGTGTAAGGATGCCGTTCTTCAACTCTAGCATTCCTTACCAAAAATACATGGTCGTCTTTTGATGCAATTGACAAGCAAACATCTCGCACGACATTGTGCAATTTCACAGAGTCTTTTTGTTCGCCATCACTCACCAACAAATAGTACTTTTTGAGCTCATTAATAAGCATGTGTACTCTGTCTCTTGCATCTCCCAATGTCTCTCTATCCTGAAACAATTGTAACCCTTTCCCATACCTAACCAAACATTCAAGTGGAATACTATAATCTTCTGGAAACAAACTGCAAAGCAAAAGTAACGACTTAGCTTCAACACTTTCCAAATGATCATAGCTCCACTTAATGCTTGAAAACACCAAATCTTGAACTCCTTCTATGTCTCTCATTGTGTACTTCTTTAGCTGTCGAAGGGCAATATTCCAGGATTCTGGTGTTGTGTGGTTACTCTTGAATGCCTTGGCAACAACAATGATTGCAAGAGGTAAACCTTTGCATTCGTCTGCAACCTGGTTTGAAACATCACTCAAAGTGGAATCATCAGAAATTCCGACAACCTCTTTAAAAAGATGCCGAGCTTCTTCCTTCGGCAAGGCACCGACCTCAAAAATTTGAGCTCCCATTCTACTACAGACATGAGAAAGGCGAGATGTCAATATAACTTTCAAGCCCTTGCATTCACCTCTAACAGGTATTCCTAGACTCTTAAAATCAACTTCTTCCTGAACATCATCCAATATAACAAGAATTCTCTTTTCACCATTGCTTAATCTCGTATACATTCTTTCAGCTCTCGCGCGATCAGTTTCCTCAGAAATTTTCAATCCTAACTGCTCGGCAAGTTGGTCTTGAACAGTTCTTGTGTTCGGAATTTGAGACAAATTTGCTTTGGCAACTTCATCAAACAACTTTTCAAACTTAACCTGGTCTGCGATTTGCTCTGCCAAAAAAGTCTTGCCCACACCAGGCATACCACAAATCGCGACTAGGCTTGTTTTATCTTGCTTTAGAGCTTCTATCACTTCCTTCATCTTTGACATCTGACTAACTAGGCCTTCCTTGGAGGATTGGGTCTGTTCACTAAAAGGCATCTTCCCTAATGGAGCTATGTACCCAACTTGATCAAACTTCCCCTCTCCTATAAGTTTCTGAGCAACATCTGTTCTTTTTGCAGCACGTCGGCCTAGCAAATAACGTGACTTCAAATTTGGAAGCCTAACGATATTAAAGCAATTCACCTCAACACTCTCCATACCCTGAGAAATAGTATATGCCTCTTTCTTTAGATCATCTACATTTTTCATCCAATCAGCAACAGTTGGTTTAATTTTTTCAGCATTATTTTCTGCTACATCTACCAATCGCTGAACTTCAGCTTGTTGTAGCCCAAGTCCGTTGATCTCATTGCTCAGAGTTTGAACGTTGCTCTTGTAGAAAATTAAATATTTGAATTGGCGCAAAATTGGGTTAACACACTTCTCTACAAATGGCCCCACAATGGAAAGAGCAACATCTTGGACGGCCATTACTGCAATAGTTCTGCTCAAATGCCTATAACTATGTTATTTGGGAAAAAAGGGATCTAATAAAATGCATTAAAAACAAGGAAAAACTTCATGGATATACAAATGAGGCAAGAAACAATGCATAAACTCGAAAAGAAAAAATGTTAGGCCGTTGGACTAAGTTTAATGAAATGTGTTTGGGAAAAGCAAAACGTAAGGTATACTTGTACTAGTTAAATTGTTCTCACCAACAAATATGTTTTGCATATTTTGTTGTCAATTTATGTAAAACTAGTTTAGAAAATACGTGATGTAGATTATGGTATTTTCACAGGTTTGACAAAAAAAATATCTTAATATGCTTAATAACCGATGAAATTTTGTGAAGATTGAATTCTTAGGGACAAAAATATCATTGTAGTAAATATGTTAGTCTTTGTAAAAAAAAAAAAAGTGTCTATATGAAAAGAAAACTCAAAAGGCTATTTTGATAAATTTATTAATGCTTATATAAATGGTTTTAGGAGGATTATTAAGCTCAAACTGCCAAATTCTTTTACTTATTTTCTCAGAGTGCTGAGACTGTAAATCACTTTAAAACATTTCGAGTCTTCTGAGTAAATGGTTATTAATTTATGAGAATCTTAATGTTAATGGAATTATGATGAACATGAGATAGCTCAAGAAATTTAGAGTCCTAAGAAGAAAATCCGGAAGCTGGCATAAAGCAATGAGTTAAAAATCTCATTATAGGAAAAGTGCAAGTAAAATCACTGCAGCCCTAGAATTTGGAAATGCTTTAGGGCTATTAGACATGGAAATGAATTGAATTATCTGATACAAAAAAAAAATTAATAATGAATTCTTTTAGTCTAATCTACAAGTACACATTGTAGAAATGATGCTTGGTAAAAATGGTAAATATTATATTGGAAACTAACTACCAGTTGCTTTCTCGCAGTCGCAGCATATTGTAAAAACAATAGAAAAGCTCTTCATGAATGTTTATCACAAGTATGGTGTGTAATTTTTCCATAACTTCTAGATTGCAAGACTCCTCAAAAACCTCTCGTTGCAATTTTTCATGATCTTAATTTCTTATAAAGAGTTAAATTATGTTCATCATTGTATTGGTTGGTTTGCATTTATTTAAATGTTATTAAATAACTAGTAAGCTATAAAAATTTTGATGTATAAAGACATAAGATAAAAGGTCCAGTGATTAAGAGAGAAATTTTAAAATTTTACCAATTGTCAAATTTACGGTTGGAATCGTGACTCCCTGACAATTAGGGATGGAAACCGTGTGAAGTGATGAGGGAGAGTTATTAAAAAAAAGGTTAATTACATTTACCTCTCTTGAGGTTTAGCTAAGTTACTAAACAAAATGCCTTTGGAGTTCAAGAATATTGATCATCTCTCTCAATTAAAAAAAAATTGAACTCCATATTAAATCTACAGATTGAAAGTGGAATTTCTACAAACTTCCTTTCTTCAATCAACCCTCATTTGTCTAGATCTTAGTTCACAATTTTATACAAAAAAAAAAATGAATGCCTAAATTACACAAAGCAAAAATCACTTCGTCGTATTCCCAATCAAATTTCCTTCCAAAATATTAAAAACTTCATAAGTCAAATGATCAAAACAAAAAGAAAACTATGAGGCATAGAACCTGAATAGTAGTGGAGGAAAAAAAAATATTCAATGCAACAAGGACTAAAAATTTACCTGTAGAGTATTATTTGTTCGATGCACAAATCTATAAGAGAAAATCAAACACAAGAGCATAGAAATTTAAAATAAAAAATTAGACATCAAAAATAGAAGAAAATCTAAAGAATCATAATAAAGCATGAATTTCTGGACATGTAAAGTAGATCTTACATTGGAGTGAAAGTAGAAGGGAAAAATAAGATATAAGAACTATAAGATAAAATCAAGAAATCAGCTTTGGTCGTCAGAAAGTCTACTATGATTGAGGAGACTTTCATTTGCAGGATACTAGGAACTAAGAAATTTAGTGGGCTTTTTGAAAAAAAAAAAATTGGTAGTCCTTAATATGCATTAACTGCTACAAAAATTCTTTTTGTATCGTTAAAAAAAAAAAAAAAAAAACTGATAAGACTTGTGTCCTTTTACATTCCCGAAACAAAAAGTTTTCCATGTAAAGGGTCAAAAACACTAATTTAGAAAAATGCCTACATACCCAAGTAGTACATTGTGCTCCAAAAGACTCAAATGCAGTTGCAAAGTCAGGATTATGGGGAGAGGGCGGGTGTGCATGTGTAGGAAATTGTTATTTGTGAATGCTAGGACTTTTTTTTGGAAGCTTCTTCATCCAAGATATCCAATTGTAACTTGAAGAAAAATATTTTTTAATTAAAATTTTATATTAACAAGTTCATTTTTGTCACTGAACTTTTTGACAAAATAATAGTAACACTTAACTTAAAGAAACATAATAAAAGAGCTATATATTGTGCAATAAATCAAAATTGGCATTAAAATATTAAATAAATATAAACACTCAATTCTCCGTCTTCCTATTCTTACAATTTTAAGGGGAAAAAATTATAACTTTTAGTATTCTCTAATCATATCTCAAAGTGCAAAAAGGAAGTAAAGAGTTAACATTACTAATTAGGTATAAATGTTGGTTTGAAATGTTTAGGAAAAGAATCTCTAAAATATACGTTTTATTAGTTTTCTTGTTCTACACATGAAAGATCACATAAATGTAGAATGAAGTACTTAATTTTGAAATTTGACTGATCAATAATGAAAATTAAAATAAAATATTTAATTGAAAGGCATGTTCAATTTAGCTAATAAGATATTTTTTCTAAAACCATAACAAAATTTTAACAATGCAATACTAAAACAATTAATAAGAAATAAGTTCAAAAATATTGAAAGATGAACAAAAGTTCAAATTTTTCGTAAGGCAAAAGCTAGGTGAAGGGGCCACCCGGGGGGGGGGGGGAGTGCAATAGAATTTTGTCAAAATTTTAGGGGGAGAGGGAGGGGGTTGCAAAGGATAGATTTTAATACAAATTACAAAAATTTCCTGGAGCTAAAAGAAAATTTCAAACTTAGGGGCGGTTACCCCTACCCCCGGGTCCCGTATCCCCTCCGCCCCTGCTCAAATGACTCTCAAATTATTAAAAAGCCTTCAAAACAAGGAATTGAAACCTAGAGAATAGTAACCTAATGACCGCTTTATATATATAGAGAAATCAATTTGGAGTGAATTGAAACTTGGAAAGAAAAAAAATTGCTTCTCTACCAAATTAATTTTCTATCGAACTCTACAAGCAGAAAATTATCTTTTTCTTATACTCATATCATTACTTTCCCAGTGATCTTCTCATGGCTCATTAAAAAAAAAAAAGTGTGTGCATGTACTTAATGGTTATTATTGTAGTACGGATTATTACTTTATCATGATCGCCATGAATTGATTGAAGTAGAAAAGCATTCATTTGATCAAATCTACCTCTTTTTAATGAAGTTTAACATAATTTCAAAACCCCTGAAAATTTCACCTAGCACCCATCTAATTTTGAGAATTGCATTGACATCCCTATGGGCTTTTTGATAACAAATCTACCACCATTAGAAAAAGTGGCTAAAAAAGTTGAAAGTAAATTTTGACAACAAATATTATTCCCAAGTTATCCTTGGAGTTGGACCTCCCACAGGAATATATGTCGAGTAATTAACTTTAAAAAATGAAATTAAAAAAGCAAGAGAAAGTGGAAAATCATCCCACACTTTTAGTAGATTAAGTCTCAACTGATAAAGGCCAATATATTTGATGGTACTTGACAAGACTGGTGATAGACCGGAAGTGGTAGCTGTGGTCATAAAGCAAGAATAAGAACTCCAAAAAGCCAAAACAATCCTTACTTTGTTCCTTAAAGTGCAAGATCATTTTAGTACAAAAATAAAAAAAAAAGTAAAGATATCTTGCAAAATCACTTCTATTTGAAGAACTTGTTTCTCTAGTGTATTAAAATAATTCGGGCCTTCTGATTATGACATTTTGTCACATTAGATTGAGAACGGAGGTTAACGTAATTTTCAGAATTAGAGGGGTATTAGATGAAAATGTTAGAAATCTTAAAGGAGGCCAATGAAATTATTTATTGTTAAAAACCTTTTCATTTGAATGTCAATGTGTAAGTAATCATGAAAACACATACGTAAGTAAGGGTCTATATGTGAGCATGCACCTCCATACACAAAACCTTAAAAAAAAGTTGGTTCTACACCGAAAGACCGGATATAATACAATTGTGCATGTACTCAAACCTAAACAAATCCATTAATTTAAAAGAAAATGGTGAAAATTGTGGGATTTAATGACTTCAACAGACAAATCAATTAGTTTCTACTCATCAATTGATCAAAAGCATCCAAAAAAATTGAATCATTTTTATCGACCTAATAGATTTAGAAGTGTGTAAAACAATGTTGTGATGGCTTGATAGATGAACCAAAGGAGAGATTGAAAGATAAAAACACAGACCTCTTTTTGTTTGGTTGATTGAAAACTTCCACACAGAGTGTTGCTGAGAGATATTAGTGCAGTAGTGAGTAGGTAAAATGATGGACAAAGAATTTGTAGGTGAGATGGTTAAGAAACTACAGTGAACATCTAGGCAATTTATAGGGGACGGATATGGGACCTTGCTTGTAGCTGGAAATGGGAATCCCATTTTTGGTAAGTAGTTACTGCACTATATTTTATGTTCCTTGAATTGGTACCCATCACTTTTATGCTTTTCCCTGTCACTTTTACTGTTGCAAGGGAAATGAAGTTCCACAACGACTATTATGGAGACAAGTCAAGAATCAAAGCCTCAAAAAGTAATATTCAAAACACTGTGGTGAAGCAAAGAATGCTTCAGGCAATTTCGTTTGCCCCACAATCGCTAGATCTCATTCTGAAAAAGGAATGTTGAAGATGCAAAAGGCAAACTTGGAGTTAACGTGTGAAAGACATTATCTTACTTGTGATATTCACTGTTCAACATATCCACGTCTAATATGTAAAACATACAGAAGTAGAACTAAAGTTCGGGAATTGGATGGACAAGAATATTTATAAGGGCCCCTCGGGGTCAGCTCGGCTGGTGAGCCTCGGGGGTAATCTTCGGGGTGGCACAGGTTCGAGTCTGGCCTCACATATCGCCTGGGTGCTCTTGGGGGGCGGGGTACTTCAGGCGCAGGGGATTAGTCGGGCCGCCTTCGGGTCTTGACCCGGACACCCCTGTGTTGATAAAAAAAAAAAAAAAGAATATTTATAAGGATGTACACTTAAGGGGCACTCTTATATTTTTTTGTAAAAAAATTTGAGGGACTAAATCTAATGTTTACAAGGAAATAAGTGAAAAATTTTAGTATTTTATGGGGATATAGAAGGACTTTAAAAATCTTGGGAGGGCAAGACCTAATTTCTACAATGTTAGGAAATTGGCTTAATTTCTTTAGGTAGATTTCTTGTTTTGTGTGGAAGTAACTAGTTTCCTAATTGGTTTTAGTTACTTGAAGTAGTAGCCAAGGAATATTCTATTTAGTTTAGGATTAGAAGTTATTTCCTATTTTATATAAGTCTACGAATTAAAATTGGTTTCCTATTATTATTTGGATTTTGGCCAAATAATATTATCTATAAATAAATGGGTTGACATACTACACAAGAACACACAAGGGGGCACACAAGAGTCAACATGTAGCCTTATACATGGATAGTGAGAGAGAGTTCTTGGAAGATGAGAGATGGTATGCAAGGGTTGGACTTGGGTTTGGGCTTGGGTTCAAGTTGTATTCTTTTATAGGGTTTTCCTCTCATAATAAAGAATATGTTTCTCTCCGTGGACGTAGGCTCAATAGTGGAACCGAACCACGTCAAATATTGCGTGTCGTTTATCTTTCATGCTTATGATTTGTTCCTCATTAAATTGTTGTGTACTTGATATCTCAATAGTTGTTTATTCCGCTCTTGGATCCTAACATACAAAGATATACGTGAAGTATTAACAAATTTTTGAGTATATAAAAGAATTTTTGAAACCTTAGGATCGATGGCACTTGCCCCTTTTACATCCGTCAGTGATACATATATAAGTACACTCACTTGTTGTATGGTTGTGTCATGTCTGGTTCCGCTTACTTGTTGTATTTGCTATAATATTTAGTGTGCATTAGACTACATTATTGTATTAAATATATATAAAATATTTTAGTCGTGTATATTGTATACCAACATTTTTATGGATAAATATGATATGATTGTCCATCAAATAATATAATAAAAATAATAATTGTACCAAATTGGATTAAAACGTAATTGTGCCTGTCCCAAATCCCGTTTGTCCAACCCTCAGGTCAAAATTTGTTTATGTTTAAGTGTAGTTTAGATTTGCATGGGTATGTCGCGTGAATCTATCTTACAAAAGCCCAATTCAAACCAATCTGATATTTTATGTGTTTGAATCAAAATTTTTAAACCTATACCATATTCATCCTCGAAGTTCTAAAGCCTAGTTGCATTAAACATTAGTAATATAGTAGCTACGTCTTATAATGTTTTATTACCTAACAAAATTTTTTTGTTAAGTAGTTGAGAAACTACAATAAGAATTAAGGCAAATTTATAGGGGAGAGAAGATGCTTTCTAGTATAACTGAGAATAGGAATCCCATTATAACACTCTTATCCTGTGGCCTTTGGAAGGGTAATCATCACTTCTATCTTTTTCTTATCACTCTTACTTTTCTACAGGAAATGATGTTCCATAACGGGATTGGGATAGGTATGGTTGGCCTCAGGTGCGATCGGTACGATTGTTACTCTTTTCATAATTTTGTGTGTGTAAAATCACGTAACTTTGTTGCATCGATATCGATTTCAATAAAATTATTTGAATAATATCAAATCATGAAATAAAATAAAGTTAAATGAACGCACACTAAATCACAAAAAAGAATACAGCAATTGCACCTCTACCCAATCGTACGTGCTCCAAATCTTTCCATAACTAATTTTGAAATGCCCTGAGTCCACTAGACTAGTTAAATAAATTTTTAAACTAAAATCACGGATTAAATACGTGGCGCCTGTTTGTCGAGGCAGATTAGCCACATTGAATATACTTAAAGATTGGGGTATTGTTGATTCTGACTTGTCTGTTCTATGCGAGAGAACAAGTGATCACATGTTCTTTTTGAGTGTTCGATTTCGTACCAGGTCTGGGACCAAATTCAAGCTCTATGTTTACTGTTCAGAGTCTGTTATCCATGGTCAGTGGAATTAGAATGGTGGTGCGGGTGCCATCATTGTACTAATTCTTTCCGCGATCGAGTTCGTAAGTTGGCATTGGCTGTAACACTTTACCATATCCAGCGGGGAATTATCAGAAAATATTTCAACATGAGCAGGTGATTATCCAGAGAATGATTCACGATGTCCAATTTTGTTTGGCTACCTGTCGCAAGGTCGAAAAATGCAAGAGGAATTCGGAGCTTACTCTTACAAATTTTCACTTAATTGTTTAGTCGTAGTTGCTGTTTTGTTGTTTTTGTTTCATTGGTTGTCATTTCATTGCTTTGTACGGCTGCCAATACAAGTTAATTCAATTGATAAGAATGGATCACCTTCTCATTAAAGACTATGTGTTTAAATTTCACTGTCACCAATATGTGAGAGCTGTGTTAGTAGAACTTCTGTAAACTATTTATAATTCCGGAGGCATATCCTAATCCATGATAGTAATCGAAATCGAACCTATTCAAACTTATATTTACCAAAGAAAAAAAATTGCTTTGTACGACTATCACTTTGAACTTGTGGGGCTAGATTTGCAGGTGATATAGAAAAGCTATGTTTTATTTATTTATTTTTAAACACCCCATGGACCATGGCCTATTCCTACTGAAACTTTCCCCTCGGTGTTATGATTTCTAAATTTTTTTTTTTTAAAAAAAGCATGACAAACATTCTCCCAAATTTTCTTTTTCCCCCTTCTTTCATATGGAAATTTACGGCTATCTGACTTGGGGGGGGGGGGTTTGGAGAAGCATATAGACACACACATAATTCTCTATCTTCATGAAAAGTTGGATTCTGAAGATCAATTATGATTTGGTCAAGGAGTATGTTTTTAATAAAACAATAAGATGCAAATCTTGTGTTTAACATGTTAATTTTATTTTTCCTTGACACATAATCTCTATTTAAATGCACATATGTTATGTATATAATTTCACTCTTCTAAAAAATTTTATACACTAATGGCATAGAAAAGATTAATCTCACAGACACACATATAATGATTATTTTCTTCATAAAAAAGTTGAATCCCCGAAAAACAACTATAATTTTGGAATCAAGGGAGTATATTTCAAGAAAAGAATAAGTAGTTAGATCTTGTGTTTCTTTAACTTTTGCCTTTTGCATCTTCAATATTCTGTTGTTGGATGAGATATAGCACTTGCGAGCAAAATTTTTTTTGCCAGAACGGTACTTTGCTCCACTAGATTGTTTTGAGTGCACTCCTTTTTAGTCTTTTGATTCTTCCCTCAAAAAAAAAAAAAAAAAAAAGATCCTTTGATTCTTAGACTTGTCCTCATAGTATAAGTTATGTAAATTAATTTCATTTTCTTTAGAACTGTAAAAGTGACGGAAAATTATAAAAGTGATGGTTACAAACCCAAGGAACACAAAACTAAAGGGTATCTTATCTCCCCCATAAATTGTACTAATATTCATTGTAGCTTTTCACACTAACAAATTCCTTGTCCATTAGTTTAATCATTACTTTTTTTTTTATTCTCTCATTCCTCCCCACATTCTTTCCAATTTCAGCTACCAGGTCCAGGATTTATCATCTGACGTTATCATCTGACGTAATAATATTAGTTACATTTTCTCGAATAAGTAAGGTAAAGATAAGGTCAGGCTGTTGTGGCCAAAATAAGATTATTATGTGATGTAATAATATCGATTACATTTTACCGAATAAGTAAGGTAAGTTCTCTTTTATCGGTTGAACGGAGGGGATGTGGTTGGTAGTGCTATTTTGTTGATCCCGGGTCTTTTTATTTGAGGTGAGGTTCTATCCAGTTCTATCCAGTTGTGTAAATTAGCACAATTTCGATGTAAATTAATATATTCCTGGCTTTTGCCATTTGGAACTTCAATATTCCTTTCTTGGATGAGATCTAACACATTTGCCTAAAGCATACTTTGCTCCTCTTGATTGTTTTGAGGATTTTCTTTTTGAGGTTTTTGATTCTTGACTTGTCTCTATAATATAAGCTGTGTAACTTCATTTCCTCTAGAACAGTGATTGGGAAAAGAGTAAAACTGATGGTTACCAATCCAAGGAGCAAAGAATAAAGTGTGATAACTACTAACCAAAATGGGATTCCCATTTGCAGCTACATAAGAAAAGTATATATCTTCTCTACCCTATATTTGCCTTAGTTTTCATTGTAGTTTCTCAAAATTCTCAGCAACAATTTGTTGTCCGTCACTCTATCTATAACTATACCAAGACCTCATTAGTACATTTCTTGTTGTATCTCTCAACAATTCTCTGTGTGATTATCGCTCTGGTTTTTCAATCAAGCAAACTAAAAGAGGTATGTGTTTATATTTCCCAATCTCTTTCTCAGTTGATCTGTAAAGATATATTTGTACCAGCATGCAAAGCCCCAGATTATAAGCATAATTTTACTTAATTGCCATGATATTCATGCATTGCTTAAGCAGGAGTAGAAAAGAAAGAAAGTACTTTGGTGATTTCTCATGATTGAATGGCAAGTCTTTATAGTAAGTAACGACTTTAGTTAAATAAATACAAAAATTGGAAAAAAGAACAAAGAGAAAAAAGTAATAACTATAGTTATAATGACAGGAAGTTTACTACAATAAAATATTATTACAATAAACCTAATCTTACTACTTTATACTCTTTTTTTTTTATTTTTAATAATGGGAGGTCTTGAACTCAAGAACTCCTATTTATAATTTCTCCCATCTTTCTATCTAATTCAACCCTACCCTCGTCCTAACCAAGCTGATCGTTTACTTAACAAAACTCATTAAGCATTCACTTGCGGTGCAACATTGTTAGAGTATCGGCACATCACATAAAAGTGATTCAACTTTTTTTTTGATTTTTTTAGGATAAATCTTATATACATCGACAGTATACATACTATCACGATTAGATACATGATATATTTTAAATTTAGATGAATTGTCATGCATCCAATGATGATGGTATTTACACTATCAATGTATAAAAAATTAATCATTTTTTTATCAGTTGAACATAAAAATAATGGATTGGGTAGTTAACGTTTCTCAAATCCCAAATTAGGTTGACGAAAGTTATTCAAATGTTCTTTTGATCAATTAACAAATAAAAATTGGATTTGGCTGTTAAAGATTCTGAAACCCTGCATTCTTCGCCATAGTTTGTGTGTTACTAATAGCAAATCTACAAGTTTGACAGTTACTGTCGACTGGAACTTTTTGTGAAGAAAATTTCCTTCTAAGCTAACCTAGTCAGGTTTCCCTAATAAAAAACTAAAAAAAAAAGGCAAAAGAATCAACTGGGGCCACGCAAAAATGAAGAGGAATAAAGTACTTTTTCTTTTTTTTCCCCCATAAAGATGAGGCAGTTTTCAAAAAGAGAAAAAGAAGATTCATGAGGTTACTTTTAGTTGTGGCTAGCCAAACCTATGGAATTTTTTAATTTTCCAATGATGTAATGTAAGCTTTTGATTTGGAAGAATATTTTTAACTTCTATTACAATTTATATCTCGTAATGAAGGTATGAAATATAGCAAAATCATCTATTAGTAATAGGAACTGCCACGATGTTCGAACATCTTTAGCTTTTCTATTTCCTTCTAATGTATATCATCTAGTTTTCGTATGTCAATCAAGTGAAATTTTTTTTTTAAAAAAATAAATGTACAAGGGAACAAAAAAAAGGAGCATCTTGTGATCATTTAATTATTACATCTTACTAAATAATTTTTTAATCATAATGTGTTGAAAAAAAAGTGATGTTTCAACTAAATGCCATTGAACAGAAGATTAGTTGTAGGTAGAATCATTTAAACAAGAGTTGCATCTAAAAATCTACCATAGTTATACGAGGAATCCACACATGGACTTTGATGGTGTGAGCTTTTTTATTTTCTTTAATGTCATCATACATAGAATTTTCATAGCTTATTAGTTATTCAAAAACATTTCAGTTGATGCAATCCAGCTAATACCATAGTAAATAATTTAGCGCTTAGCAAGAAATTAAAGTTCTACAAAAATGGAAGGGATTTTTTTTTTTTTAAAGTACGTACTAAGACTTAGACCAACAAGCTTTCATTGTTGGATACACATAGAAGATCTGTGAAATACATTAGTGAAGAGCTTATTCATTGTTTTATAAATTGTTAGTCGAAAGCATCATCGGAACAGTGCACAGATGTTGATTAGACCAAAGAAATCATTATTAATTCTTTCTTGATGTAGTGTCTAATCTCCCATTAGAAATTCTAAATTCCAGTGCTATAATAGTTTTAGATATAGTGTCTACTCTCCCTTTAGAAATGCTAAATTCTACTGCTATAATAGTTTTACTTGCATTTTTCCTGTGATGACGCTTTTTAGTGATTGCTCCATGCCAGATAAAGGATTTTCTTCTATCTTAATTAAGACTCCTAATTTCTTGACCCGCTTCATGTTCTTTGCCAGCAATGTAATGAACTATTACAATTCACGAATAAGACTTAAAAATATATTCAATTAATCTTGCTATTAAGCACGCAGAAAACTAATTGAATATTTGGAGACTTTTAGTGGCTTGAGATAAAATTTATATAAGACAATACATATATGCACAATATTTTTATCAACTAGCCTTTTCAGTTTTCTTTCTTTACACTATTTTATTGATTGTTGGACATATGAGATTTTAGATTTTCGTCAAACCAGTGAAAACATACACATACCTTTGCACCTTAATTACTTTATATATTGTATTTTCTAAATTCTTCTTTAAAAAAAAATGATGTGTTTGAATAAAGTTGCCAATATGAGAAATGTGTTGATGGATAATTTGCCTGTCCTGACTCATGATGGTGATTAAAGTGATAACTATCCATATTTTTTCCTACCCAAAAAAGTATTTCTAAATTAATATTGGTTAAATCTAAACTAATAAATGAGAACAATTGAAACATTAATAGCATCCTTTATGTTTCGCCAAACATTTAATTAAACTTAGTCCAAGGACCTAATCTTTGTGTCTCCTTCTGTTCATAGTCATCATAATCTTTACTCTTAAGGATTCATCATCATCAACACCATTATTATTATTTTGGTTAAGAAAGGCTCTACAGCTTACATGAGAGAGAGAGAGAGAGAGAGAGAGAGAGAGAGAGAGAGAGAGAAGATAGGCTTTGAGAGTCAAACTAGGAAATTCATGATCATATGGCTACATCAACTTGAGAGTTTAGGTTGTGTTTGGATTGCAATTTTTTGGAGTTTCTGTAAAAAAAAAAAAATACTACAACGATTTGATATATGTGGTTAAAAAGATGATTGAAAAATATGTTCATAAAAAATATAAAGATATTTTGATAGAAAATCCCTTTCCAAATAAGTTACTTTTCAATAAATTCAATTTAGTCATGATGATGAAGCTACACAATTTGCATCACAAGAAGACGCAAAAAAGAAATCCATACATCAATCTTCCGAATATTTTTGTTTTTGGGGTTTGTTGGAGGGCTAAAGCCCAGCCCGTTATGACTAAGAAATCCACTTGTGACAAATTCAGAATGCAAAATTTTTAAGCACCATCCAGATGTCTATGAATTTTAACTTTTTTTTGAAGGTACATGCATTTGTTTGTTAAATTTTGTTATTGTTGTTTTCCCTTGGGGACATCATTACCTCATTTGCATATTCATAAAATATTTTCTTATCTATTATAAAATCGAATGTTTCTAATTTCCGTAATAATATAATTATAGACATTCGAACAGAAATATTGGAATAATGGCCGTGGAAGCTATTCGTGATGCGATTGTGGGGAAAATTGTGGAGAAGTGCATTGATCCAATTATGCGTCAATTTCAGTATTTATTTTGCTATAGAAGCAACGTTGAAACCCTGAGGAATGGCATCAAAAAACTCGAGCAAACGAGAACTGAGGTGCAACGATTGGTAGATGCAGCAACAAACAATGGTGAAGAAATTAAACCAATTGTTACTGATTGGCTAAGGCAGGCTTATGATCTAGAGAAAGAGGCACATACTACTATTTCTGATGGTATGGAGACTGTTAAGGTGAATTGCTTTAAAATTGTCATGCTTCCAAATTTGAAGTCGCGTTATTTGATAGGCCGACAGGCTGCCAAAAGAGGAAATGATGTTAAAGAACATCTCAGAGAGGGCCAATTTGATGAAGTTGGATACTTTCCTCCATTGGGGAAAATGCCATTAAGTGAATGGACCCCATCCTTTGAGGAAAGCCTAATTACTAGGATGTCAAAGAAGAGGGAAGTGATTGAAGCTCTAAAGCAGGATAAAATAAGTTTGCTTGCGATTTGTGGTATGGCCGGCGTAGGCAAGACTACTTTGGTCAAACAAATTGCTGATCAGGTTAAGTTTGAGAAACTGTTTGATCGCGTAGCCTTTGCAGCTGTGTCTCAAAATCCAGACATGAGCAATGTCCGAAATCAACTTGTTGAGCGGTTAGAGCTGAAAATTTCTGAGCAAACTGATCTGTCAAGAGCTGAAAGATTGTATATGACACTAACCAATAGTGACAAGAGAATTCTTGTTATATTGGACGACATTTGGAAAGAAGTCGATTTTAAGAGTCTAGGAATTCCCGTCAAAGGTGAATGCAAGAGCTTAAAAGTCATACTGACGTCTCGATCCTCATATGTTTGTAGGGGGATGGGAGCTGAAATCTTTGAGGTGAATGTCTTGCCTAAAGAAGAAGCATGGCATCTTTTTAAGGAGGTTGCAGAAATTTCAGATGATTCTGCTTTGATTGGTGTTGCAAAGCAAGTTGCAGAGGAATGCAAATGTCTACCTCTTGCAATCGTTGTTGTTGCCCGGGCATTAAAGGGCAATCATACTCCAGAATCTTGGGATCGTGCCCTTCGGCAACTAAAAGAGTACACAATTAGAGAACTAGAAGGAGATGAAGATTTAGTGTTTTCAAGAATTAAGTTTAGCTATGACTATTTAAAAAGCGCTGAAGCTAAGTCATTACTTTTGCTTTGCAGTTTGTTTCCAGAGGATTATAGTATTCCAATCGAATGTTTGGTTAGGTATGGTAAAGGCCTAGAATTGTTCCCAGATAGACGGAGGTTAGTAGATGTAAGAGACAAGGTAGACACGCTTATTGGTCACCTGAAAAGCTCCTATTTGTTGCTAAATGATGCTGAAAAAGAAGACTCTGTAAAACTGCACGATGTCGTGCGAGATGTGTGCTTGTCAATTGCATCAAAAGACGAGCATGAGTTCTTAGTGAGCAATTCTGGAGTGGGAGAAAAGAATTCTTACACGGCAATTTCACTAATATCGCATGATTCCAATCATGATCTACTTCCATTTTGCAAGGAATATCCAAGGCTTAGGCTGTTGCGCTTGGTATTCCGATTTGGGAAATTGAACCTACCAAGAGATTCTTTTGTAGGAATGGAAGCTCTCAGGGTCATGGAATTAAACCACTCGCAAATTGAATTTCCACTGTCATGGCCTGGCCAAATGTTAAGGAGCCTTCGGACACTGTGTCTGGATTATTGTGCATTGGGCACTGGAATCTCATCAATGCTTGGACACATGATGCAATTGGAAATTTTGAGCCTCTTTCAATCCAAAATTGTGGATGATCGGTTTCCGGCTGAAATCACTCAGTTGAGTAATTTAAAGTTGTTGGATTTGAGGGTTGAAAGTAGCATCCATCCCTTACCTAGTGGTATCTTGTCAAGCTTGAAGAAACTAGAAGAATTGTATTTGGGATCTGGTGATCATTTGCAGCTAGGGAGAGATAAAGAAGAGGAAAGAAGATGCCTTAAAGAGATCTCATCAATCTCTAACCTTGCATGTCTCCAAATTGCTTTATATGACCTTAACTTCCTACTTCTATCTTTGCAAGAATTTGATACTCGGAGGCTGTCAAGATTTCACATTGCAGTAGCTAATCATAGAGGAGCAATGATAGATATCAGCAAAAACTATCAATTTCGAAAAAGCTTCGAGCTTTATAATCTTGATGGTGAAGGGTTGAAACAAGTGTTTGATCCTAGTGTTACTAGCATTGTCAAGAGAACTGAGAATCTCACTTTAAATCTTTCTTACTCATCATGCTTGAGGAATCTTGTGCCTAACTTGGGTGAAAATGGGTTTATAAATTTGAAAAGGCTTTATCTGCTCAATGGACAATATGAATGCCTTGTTGATTCTACCGCCAACCTTGTTGCTGGACATGTTTTTGAAAATTTGGTGTCCATGGAGTTAAAATTTTTGAAGTTGAAAGAAATATGTAACGGATTTCTTCCACCTGGGTGCTTCAGACAACTTCAAGAGGTGAGACTTCGTGAATTAAGTGCTTTAGAGTACTTGTGGAAGGGATCAGTCAAACCTCCGTCGCTTTGCAACCTCATATCTATTGAGGTAGAGTATTGTCATAAAATTACAACTTTCTTCTCGCAATCAGCACTGAAATGTCTAGTGAAACTCCAAAGGATAGACGTATATAAATGTGAAAATTTGGAGAGAATTGTTCTGAGTGAGGAAAGTCTGACAGAGGAAGTGCTTGTACTACCCCAATTCAAAGCGTTAAGCTTACGCATGACAAAATTTATTGGTTTTGGCCCTAAAGATGATAAAGCCGTGGCTTTCTTTGACCAGGTCTGTCTTCTCTCCCTCTCTCTCTCTCTCTCTCTCTCTCTCTCTCTCTCTCTCTCTCTCTCTCTCTCTCTCTCTCTCTTTTAGTTTGGGTAATTATATGATATACTTAATATAGTTGAATTCAGGTGAACACCGAAAACACACTCAAGCACTTTCTTTCTCAATATGTTAATTATATTTTCAAAATTAATGTTTCATCAGTTATATTCTAGGCCTTCAATGAGTTTACCCAAAAAAAAAGAAAAGAAAAAAAAAGGCTATTTGGGGTAGTATCTCTTAGTTTTAGTAATTAAAAGTCCAATGATGATGAATAAAAATTGGGTAATAAAAATATTGATAACAATAATTTTGATGCTCGAGTGACGTGTTGGTATGTCTGTCATGTCACCAAACATAATGAATATGGATCCAAACACTACTGCATTTTGCATGTTGCAATCAACGTTATGGTGCTTTACGCTATGTTTGCCAAAAATTTCAGGTTTCACTCCCCCTCTTGGAAGTACTAGAGATTGTTGATCCTGGTGATGGCCCCGAACAACTAATAGGAGGGAAAATGCCTAGTGGGTCCCTCGACAACTTAAAATCCATGAACCTTGTTGAATGTAACTCTATCCGATGCATTGCCAAAGCAGATACGGTTACATTGTTACAAAACTTGCAAGCACTTTACATGTGGTATTGTAGTGGGATGGAATTTCTTATTGACTTTGAGGGTCTAAAAATTCATAATACGCTATCAAAAAAGGGATTTGAAATTCTCCCCAAACTTGAGTCACTGGACTTGCTTGTCTGTCCAAGATTAACCCACATTTGGAGAAATTTTCCTGAAGGGGTTCGAGTATTCCAAAACTTAAGAAGGCTACATGTGATCGGGTGCCCTTTAAACTGTTTGTTTCATCCTCCTAGTGTGGCTACCATGCTCAAAAGTCTTGAAGAACTACAAGTTCATGGGTGCTCGGAAATGTGTGGAGTTATAGGTGAGGAAGATGAAGAGGTCAGCCTAGAAGATAATGCTCAGCATCATGATGTTGGAAAACGTGGAGAAATTGCACTGGGAAGAACCAGCAGGGAGTTGGTGTTTCCTAGATTAAACTCTTTGTGGTTGGACGACCTTGAGAATCTTCGAAGCTTTAGTGGTAGTCATCGGGAGGATTATGAGTTTAAATTTCCCTTCCTCACTGAGTTGATCATAGTGAGTTGCCCAAAGTTGAAGAAATTTTGTTCGGGAAAGTTGAATGCACCATTGCTTAAGAAAATCCAAACAGCACCTAGAGATATAAAGGATTTTGAAGTTCCCGTGGATTTAAAGGTACAAATTTCCTAACTCTATTTTCAACCAATCCTTTTAATTTTTTTCTCACTTCACTAGACTTATTTCCCTAAGAGTTTAGAATATATATTTTAAATAATTATTTCTGAGCATATTATATTTTACAGGATCGAGAGATTTGTCCTTGGTTAATTTTAAATTGACACAATTATCTGCATATTAAGGTACATGCCTTTCTATATGCTTACAAAATTTATCTTTTCCCCTTCTTTATAATTACAAGCTGCAGTATGCATGCTTTTGATCTATATGAATGAATCAATGAATGGTATTACATGATTGTGGAATATCATTGATTACAAAATTATATGAACTCTCACGGAATTTTCCATTTGGATGTTGAGGTAAATACCTTTCTATATGCTTACAAACTTTATGTTTTACCTTTCTTCTAATTTTGTCTTTACGTTTTTTTTTTTCATTTTTTTTGAGGTGAATGGAACTTTTGATCTTCTATTAATCAATCAGATTCTATTCTCATGTAGCATTATTCATTGATTCTTACTATGTATGAACTATACTTCTATATTGAGTTTGCATTATTGGCTTTCTTATCAACTCTTTTTTTTTTAATCTAAATGTTACCATTTCAGAGTAAAACTAATATGTTAAAACCTATATTTGTTTTGGTTTTGCTTATATTTCTTGCAATTTACGCATTTTATGAAATATTCTTCTTTTCATTTTTTGAAAATAATTTCCAATAAAATAATAATAATTTCCACTGTGAAAAATTGCCGCCTTTATATTTCAGCTTTCAAAGCTCCAATCTCTTCAAAGATATAAAATTGAATATTCCATGTAGGAATCAAGGAAAAAAATCCTGAGTAGAGAAAGCAAAAAATAAACTAGAGCTACACAAGCCTGATGTCAAATTGATGTGGGAATTCCAATGTATTATACCATGTATATTTGTTTTGGACATTATGACAGAGTTGTAATATTCATGCCTCTGTTTTCTTTCACAGAATGTTGTGGGAACCATCAAGTTGATCGAATAATGTGGTCTAGTTACCACAGTCTTGACTGAACTGGTGGATTGGGCTATCAGATATGGATGGAGATCTTAACATGGTTAATACTATAAGTGTGGAACTTATATAGGTATTGTGTGCTTGCTTTTGTCATTGATTTTCAAATAATAAACATATTGTGTGTATAGTATCATGGCTTTTAAATAATAAATGTGCTGTATGTAATGTATCATGACTTTCAAATAATAAATGCATTGTACGTATCATATCATGGACTTTAAACAAAAAGAATGAAGCTTTTTTTTCCTGTGGATCTAAAGCCTAAAGGTACATGCATACATCCTAATTCTCCTGACAATTCTTTTTTGGATGATCGGTGAGGCTAAGATCATTGTAATATTCCTTGAACATTCTGATGAATGTCTTGGCTCCCATCATGATTAGTCTCTCTACCATAAAGAGTTGATATTTGTTTTCAATTACTGGATTCAAGATGCTGCTGCAGTTTGATGAGTATGCCAAGTTGTACAAAGTGCAATACAAAAACCGTGTTAAGATCAATCTATGCAACTAAATTACAGAAGTCATGAAGACAATAAAAATCAAACACTGTTGCTAAACAACATAGCGAGGATTGCCACATCTCTTCGTGACAAACTTGGAGCTTGGAATATATCAGATAGATGGTTTAGAGAAAAAGAATAGGAAAATTAATCCAGGATGGGAAATTAATCCTCAGCATGCCAAAAGAAATCCTCAGCATGCCTCTCATCCTTTGCAGCTGATTCTCTTTCTCCAAGCTGCTCTACCTTTCTTTCCTTCACTCACTCACACACACACACACACCCCCCAAAAGAAAAGTTTAAGCAACATTAGAAGCAATCATTAGGACTTCTTCCATCTAGCTTCCATTGAAAATTTAAAAGCACCAGCAGATTAGTATGCATCCCAACTACTGCTTTTATCATCCACATCTTTCTCACTCTACACTAATCTTTGACCACACATGCATCTTATCACTACATACAACAGTATACAATGTGTTTGTGAATAGCTTCACAATGTGAGACAATAAAAATATTGGAAAACGCATGCAATTTGTAGCTGCTAAAAGTAACTCCTGGGCAGAAAGAATATTGACACAAGAAATGGTATTAGAACTCATACACCTACCAAGGCAAAACAATTTCTCCAAATATTTGATATGTAAAAGGCCATTTTCCTTTTCTTTTTCTTTTTTGAAAAGAGAAAGAGGGAGGGGGGTTGCAAAGGATATACAAAATTTTGATCTACTGTTGATACGAAATATGGGCCGCTTATGGGCCATGTTTTGGGCTGCAAGAGAATGAATCTTTTAGTAATAGTTTAGTAGTTTATTTTTCAGATTTCTATTTTATTTGGTAGGAATAAGTTCGGTCCAAGACCTCATGTTGAGTTGGATCCGATTTATAGAGTCTAGGCTCACTATTACTTAAGTTGGTTAATTAGCTTTTATTGGGTTATGTTGGGCCAGCTTAAACCCTTCATTGGGTCGATTATAAGCTGTCCATTATTTAGCCCTAGCTATGATTAGTGAGTCATTAGTTTAGTTGTCAAATCGAATAAGGAAACTTGCATTGTTTCCAACTTAGATTAGGTTTGCTTCTTTGTAAGGCTATAAATAGCCAAGCTTTGATAATTTAAGGGAGACACTTTTATGATAAAAATATTGAGAGAGTTTTCTCCATAGCTTTCGAGCAAACCTTGAACAACTTAGAGTTACACTCTAGTGTTCTTGTTCGGCTTATCAATTCAAGAATCGCACTTGAATTGTGGCGCCTTCTACACTTGCCTGAGGTTCACTAATTCGTTTGGTTATGGGTTGAGATAATATCAACAAGTTCGTAGTCACGGGGATTAGAGGGGTCGTAGGGTTTCCGCTGCTACCGTTCTTGCGTTCGAAGTCAAATCCAACAAGTGATCTTGGGTCGCGAATCTTCTCTCCAACGAGATTCGTATCAACTGTTACTCCCAAGATGACAATCATATAAAGTTCAGAAGGATCAGAGTGGAAGGTAATATACCTTGAAGCAAGAGGGGCAAAGAAACCTGGGGTCCTCCCATTTGAAGCAATAAAAAAAGTTCGTCCTGGTGGGACCCATTTTGCAATTCTGCAGGAAATAAATTCTGGACGGGTATCCCCATCAAGATAAGGATACAAAGATCGATCAACGCCAGACCTATACTTACGAGTTTTCAATTTATCACCTCATCTGACATGGATAGCATCATAATCACCAAGAATCACCTTAATCTGTACGAATAACAATGGGAAACAACATCAATCATAATAAATGTCAATCACTTAAAAACAGAAAATTTTAAAGCAAAGCAAAGTTATACCTAACTGCAATAGAACACTAGCCATCCAAAAGCATCAATGATGTCATATTAGAGCTTTTGGTTCCCAAAAAGAAGGTATTCAAACAGGTGCCCACATATGGATGACATTTGACCACAATTAGGCCAAGCCATTTTGACTGACAGATGAACCAAAAATTTTTATGAAACTTCTAAATACATGTAGAACCCAAAGGTACACCCAAAACTTTTTTGGTACACACTCTTGACTCTCCAACTGTAAATGCAACACCAACCAATGATCAGCACCTCTGACAAAAATGGTTTGAGGCATACACAAACAGCTAGCAGAAAAGAATGGCTCTGAAACAAAAAAAAAATCACTATCATATTTGAACACCAAGGTTCATTCTCAGATCTCATGTCAAATATTCAAGCCCTACACTGTACACCAAAAATTATAATCAAGCAACCAACCAAATGAGCCCACTAATAAAGTATGCAGTAGCAGTAAAACGGCAAGCCTTCTTGTACAAATTTCAAGTGGAACTCACAAGCATAATACAGTCTCTCTATGTGGTGAATTATCACCCTCATCTATAAGATTAAGCCATATAAAAGAAAGAAATTACTTATCAAGGACTCTCACTTGCCCCCTGACATGTATGCTGAACTCCTTTCAATGCAAAGAGCACGTGACGCACCTATTACGAGTGGTGCCAAACATTAACAGAGAACCCATGCTTACCCTGACACTAGTGTTCATTTACGGTCATATGTAGAAGCTTCAACTGTCAGACAGGAAAAGGAAATATTATTTTTTCTAAAAAAATTAAAAGGTCACAACCTGTTTACGAAAAGTGACAATGCGCCGCACAACTAATTGCAGTAGTCAAGCTTTTACGACATTAATGTTTACCCTACCAGGGAGTGGTGAATGGTAGAAATAATCAGTCTTCTTAAAGTCCCATCACCAAAATGACTACAAAAGGGGAACATATTTCAAACTTCTTGTAGAAGCACCAACCAGAAATCTTCCAATAGGAATAGCAATTTTACGTATCATTAAGATATCATGACCAGTTTTTCCAAACAAGATCCACAGCATTCTCAACATCAAGTTTACTACAAGCCCAGGTTCTACTCTTTTCATTAATCCAAACTTTGATAGTCAACTCAAGAAAGCAATGATACATTTGTAGTGTGCAAATAATGTAATGAGCATATAAATTTTGGCTACCAAACATAAGGACAACTTATCAACTATCTTCCCCATAATATTGAGCAAAACACATTTATGCAAGGGCATTATTAAGCATCACACCTATGACAGACCATTGTGTTCCCATATTTGACAGAACTTTCATTTCTTTCCTCCTTTTTTGATTTGTTTTATTTAGTTTTGTTTCTGTCTGTTCTTTTCCTCTTCAGCTATAGGAGAGGAAGGAAAGGGGAAAACTCATGGCAACAATTCCCCATGTCAAAAACGTTCACACCATATGTAGCACCTTCAGGAGATCATCAACAGAAACATATGCAATGCTCCTATCATGTCCAAATTAGATCAACAAGAAACGTGGAAAAAAGAATGGCCACATTGTAATTGTACATTTACAAAAATGACCAAAAACAACTTAGAGTATATAATGGATATAATAGTGTGTTTGGATAGTAGATTATTTGAGATAATTTTTTGAAAAACTACTGTAACACTTTTTGATGTGATGTATGTGAGATAAAAAGATAGTTGAAAAATGTGTTGATGATGCAAGCAAATAAATTTTGGCAACAATTCACTGTCCAAATGAACCATATATTATAATGCATCAAATTCAAAAATCAAGAATGGCTAATATACAGAGTTTGAAAGGTGGAACAACTCTTAACTTCTTGATAGGCTCTTTGAAGACCTTCAAAATCAAAAATCAACTGATCGAAATTCTTTACATCCACTTTTAGACAATAATGAAGTTAGTTTTCAGATAATAATGAAGTTAGTTTTTACTCTTTGAAGACCTTCAAAATAAAAAATCAACTGATCGAGATTTTTTACATCCACTTTTAGACAATAATGAAGTTGGTTTTCAGCCTAAATGTAAGCTTGTAGTTAAGCTTACTTACACAATTTGCAAGAACCAATGAATGCAGCACTCTCAGACAATTAAGAGACTCCAATTAGTTAGTAGACTCTGAATGAGTATTAGTTGATACAAAACTTGTCATAAGCAATTAAAGCACCAAGAGGGCTAGAATTAGACCAAAAAATACTTTGATTATTTAACTAACCTGATGGTGGGAAGTTTCGACCTGAATTGCTTCAGTCTAAAGCTCACATTTAAAGAGAAGTTTATTCTTCTTTATCTACAAGCCACCTGACTCTTAGGTTAGAGACAAGAAGTGGTCTGATTTTACATCAGTCAAGTTAGAGACAAGAAGTGGTCTGATTTTTACATCATAGGCAGCTATGGTGCAAACTTTAGAATCATGTCGTTCCAAGGTCTTAAGCTCACACTGTGTACTTGAGACCACGAAACAAGACCCCAAAACAACTCAACAAATGATTAGAAAAGTATATTACAAATAAAAGGAGGAAAAAAAGAAAAATTTAAAAGTTCAGAATATAACCTCCACTTAATTATGTTTTAGCCTGTTGCTAAACTTAAAGTATCATAAACATGAGTGGGTAAGGTCCTGCTTTGTCAAACACTTGAAAACATTACAATGATAAGTGGCTAAGTTAAAAACAAAACAGCAAAGCAAACTCTATACATTGAAAAGTTCAAGCAACATTGAAAATTTAAAAGCACCAGCAGATTAGTATGCATCCCAACTACTGCTTTTATCATCCACATCTTTCTCACTCTACACTAATCTTTGACCACACGCGCATCTTACCACTACATACAACTCTATAGATGGCCCTGATGGGCACATGGTTGTGAATAGCACCACAATGCGACACCACAATAGC